GTGGGCACCCTTAACTTAATTGGGATGGTAAGGGGCCCCCGGTTAGGACTTACCGGGATGTCGTCTTCCGAGTCGGTCTCACTCTCGTCGGGAGGAGTCGGAGGTCCCAGCTCTTTTTCCGCTGGGGGAGCGACTTCTACAACCTCCCCTATCTTTAGCCCGGTTTCGCGGGGCCTGGTTGTGGAGGATTCGGGTTTCCTTCCTGGGCCCCGTCCTTTCTTTGGATCTGGTTTGACTCGACAATCCGCAATCCGGTGGCCCTCCTTCCCACAACGAAAACAGGCAGTCGATTTGGCCCTTGCCATCACCCCTCCCTTTCGGGGTTTAGGGGTCTCTCGGAGCCGGGGAGGGAGCAGGTTGCTCCATGCGGGGCCTCCTCTGCGTCTGCTTCGGGCTAGATCTATTTCCACTTCTTCCGCTAGCAGGTACCACAACTGCAAGTCATGTGGATCCCTTCTGGAGATGCACATGTGGTATACCTCTTCATTTAGGCCATCTTTGTAGGCTTCTATTAGAGCCTCCTGGGACCAGCCTCGGATGCGGTATGCCAGCTGTCTGAACTCTTGGGTGTAGTCAGCCACTGATCTCCCCCCTTGAGTTATGGTTTTCATTCTGATCCTGGCCCTTCTCTCCGCCAGAGGGTCTTCAAAACTCCTCCTCAAAGCAGTCATGAAAACATTGAGGCTTCGCAGTTGGGGGGAGTTATCATTATACAAAGCCACCACCCAGTCTGCTGCCAACCCCTCCAGGGTCCTGGTAACACATCTTACTTTGGCTGCCTCAGAGGTGAACTCCCTTTCATATTCTGCCATATAGCTTCCAATCTGTACCAGGAAAAACCCCAGATCCTTGGGATTTCCTCCAAACTTCACATCTAAGGAGGGCAGGTGGCGTCTTCTAGGCATTACCCCCGCTGCTGGGGCTCCCCAGGGGGCGGCTGGTTGTTGCGCTGGCGTGGGCTGGGCTAGGGGGGTGGCGGCAGCCCGACTTCCCCAGGCTGAACTCGCTCCCCTTTCCCCCTCATATATTGGAGCCCTGCCGGGTTTCTCAGAAGCATCCTTAAAGCTTTTCCCGGCTTGATCCAGCCTGCATTCCATCTCCTCCCCCTCTTGCCACAGCCGTTCCCTCGCACCTCTTCGACTTACAGTGATTCCAGGAGGGGGGGGAATCTTCCGGATCTCTCCATCCAACTCCTAACGACCATCTGGGCATCTCAGCTGGAGTTTCTTCCAGTGTAAGGTCAGCTAACAAGTCAGCGGCTGGCATCTCTGGTAACAGCATTGGCTGCCCCCCCACAGCTCCCTGGTCATCTTCATCGCCGGCTGGAGATGACATGATGTGAAACCCCCTCGGAAGAAAAATTGGTGTTTTCTCCGGGTGGGCTGATGGTGAGTTTCGGAATAATGTCAGTGTGTGCTCCTTTCAAAATCCAAGAAAGAAATACCCAGACTCCATGGATCAGAGCAAAGTTATTCTTTTACTGGAGAATGAAAAGGAAGCTACAAATGGAATTCCGAAACTGAGAATTTGGCGCGCAGATCACACATACAAAGAAATGGAATTGTTCCCACCCCCCAAAATCCAGAAGTCTCTTCCAATTAAAAGTTCTGAATATGATCATGTGGGCATCTTCAGGTGGTGATGAGGCCTCTGTCCGTTGACCTTGACATATTTTGATAAGACTTCGCAGCTGCACAAAAAGGGATAGAGGCTAGCAAGGAAATGGAAAGTTGAAAAGAAGAAATCATACACCCCCTCCTTTTTCTGCCCACAGTAAAGGAATGCAAAACACCTCCAGCTCTCTTCCCCCCCACAAATACCCCTCCCCCCGTTGCTAATGACAGCCGAAAGAAGTAAGCCTAGCAATAGAGAAGATATGGGAGAAATAAATGAGATAGATAGCAGTTAGGGTACCCGAAGAGATCTTGAGGCTGACAGTATCCATTTATCTACGCATGTTTTTGAACTGCTGATTCGGCAGAAGCTGGAGGATATGATGGAAGCTCACTTCGTCCTGCAGCAGCAACCAGGTCTTGAACATGAGCCTGTCAGTCTTCAGCCCAGCATCCTAACCTTGTGAGGCACAATGCTCCTTAGTGCAACCATTGTACTCTGGCCTTCCTATCCATTCCTATTTTAGTTACTCAAGATGTCCCAGTAAAGAAATTAAACAGAAAAGACATCCTGGCTCTGCCCACCAGTTAAAGAAACAATAACTGCATAGGAATAGATTTTTTTTATCTCTTGTACCAGTTGGAGAATTCATTGGATTATAAGTTATCTCTCAGAATAACGCCTATAAACATGCATATGTGCAAAATAGGTTTTTTTCTCATAAAATTGTACTTCTTCAATTTTCTTAATAGATGCTGCAACCCAACATTTTTACCATGGCTATCCAGTCAAACAACTGAATTATTCTTTTCTATCCTTGAATACTGAAAGGAAATGTGTACAGACCAGGAATATTCTTGAAACACAGCAGAGTCACCTATCTAACCTCAAATTCAGAAAAATGCAATGATGTGAAAGCAGATGGAAGCCAGCCGGAATAGCTTAATGAGAATTAGATTTTGTGATAATGAAGTGGTAACGATATGCAGCCACGCTATGTATCAGAGAAAACAGAACATCCCAATATAATTGGCTTTTGCTTAAGTTGTTGGAGTTACATCTAAATTAAAAACCAATATAAAAATCCAATCCAATCAGTTAAAAATGTCAAGTAAAGTGGCAAGACCATTTTGCTTGAAGTGTTATATCCTCCAATGTTTAAATATACCGAATTAAATACAGATGGTCTGTGATACAGACTCTGCTCAACAAAACATGGTTTCTAAGGATTAATTCCCACTCTGACCCCTGCAAATCTGTCCTGAAAATTTGGAAGATCCTCTGGCATGTGAGAGGTAAGTGTTTATTATTTAATGTATGGCATTTGTATATTGAGAGCCAGGGAGCCTATATTATTACATAGTAGTTTGGCTGCCTAAGATAGCCAGTTTGTTTAGTTCATGCTCATGCGCTACCCAAGATGCAACGCAGCGAGGTGAACTAGCTGCACGTAGAGGCAACAGTGAGGAAACAGAGAGAACCAGCCAAACAGTATCATCATAAACAATTACACTGTTATCCACAAGCAGTAATATCTGCTGACCTAGATCTTCTGTATTAATGGATAAGCAACTCTTAACCGCATTCACAATACTTTACATTCTGTCATGCTAAGTGTAATAAAAAACCTCTTATCACTTATAGTAACAATAATTTGACATATAGCGCTCAAAAATTGGTTGCCAATTTGGTTCTGGGTGCAATTCAAGGTGCTGGTTGGCACCTTTAAAGCCCTTCATGGCTTGGGACCAGGTTGAGGGACCATGTCTTGCCGGTCACATCTACCCGACCTATCAGAGTGGGGAGGCAGGGAATGTTGTGGGTCCCATCCCCAAGGGAGGTACACCTGGTGGGGCCCAAGAGGGCCTTCTCCGTGGAAATTAGAATGGCCCCCACTCTAATACTCTTCCGGAAGGGGCTGAAGACCTGGTTCTGCCAGCAGACCTTAATGGATGGAGCCCATTAAATGGATCGTGTGATCTGCTGTTGTCAGGGCGGGCGGGTGGGAGTTGGGGGGTGATTTTGTTATATTGTATTTTATTAATTGATTTGATTCTTTTTATTTTTTATTGTTTTAAATGTAGTTTTATATTCTGTAAGCCACCTCGAGTAGCCATGGGCAAATAGGCAGCAATAAATTCAATCAATCAATAAATAAAGCAGAAATTTTTATTCTAGCTTGCTTCTTTTGTATAGAATAAAATGTTTTGATATACTTCCTTTGCTTACTAGTTTTCAAACGATGGTTGGAACTGTATTGCATAGGGAGAAAGGACCTGCTTCTGAGCAAAGTCAGTAGGGTGATAACAAGAATTTCAACTGCAGTGTTTTATAGAATACAACTTATTTTTCCTAATGAACTATTTTAAGTGTTAATACAGCAACCAGTGAGAACCCAGGCTTAGTTCATAGCACTAAATTCCAAAGAGACTGTTTGTATTTTTATTTTGCATGAAATGTCGTGATGTGGCAGCCCAAAGCTGAATTTGTATGTTGTGCCCAACAGTAAATATGTAGTTTTTCTTATTTTTGCTTATCTCAATGAATAAACAATTGATTCTTTTAGAATGGGCAATGTCTAAATGTCTAGAGAGAGGCTGCTGGAACCCATCCACTGAAAAGAGCAAAACCAAAACATTCTGGCTTTTCTTCATATTTTAAGATTGAAATTTTTTCCCCTTCCATTCTTGCCCCTAAAACTACCTTTATTCCCCTAACTGTTGTGGGGAAATTTAATCTACGGCAGCAGATCTGGACTGCAAATCTTCAGATAGCTACTACATGGCAGCAAAGAATTAAAATGATCTACATCTTTTAAAATCTTTTGTAATTTTAATGTTTGTTTTTCTGTTTTATTACACTGTAAGCCACTTAAGTCACCATGAACCAGGAGATGAGCAGCATATAAATTTAATAAACAATAATAATCTGGTAGCCCAGGTAAAACAGAAGCATTACAATTCCCATAAATATGTTGTTTCCATCTTTAAATCGTAGTAAACTGCCAAGCTTAGGTACAATCAACTCCAAAAATATGAATTTTGGATTGGTTTAGAGGGGAGGAAGGGCAACAGCAGAAAAGGAATCCAAAAGCTTCATCCATTTTAATTCTAATTATTAAAAATGGGGGAGGGAGATCCCAAATGTGACAATTTTATCACTAAAATTTGGCAGTGCAGAATGCTGAAAAGTGACAGATTGCCCATTCCTGGTTTATACTGTAATATGTTGTGTAAAGTTAGTTCAAAATTTTAGTTACACCCAATCTGGTTTAATGTGTGAACTCAGAATCTCAGTATGAACTGGAAAATGCATTAAAAGGGTTTTTTTTTAAATAAATTATCTACATATTATATATCCAGCTTATAAAACCACCACTCAATATGTTTAACTAAAGAGCATTTATTTTATTTTTCACTATGATTTTTCACTGCCTCCAAGTAATACTATTGATCTCCTGTTCTCTGAGGAGTACATATAGCAACGGTGGCAAAGGAGATGTGAATAATCTTGAGGAGCTTGAACAAAATAAACTAAGAAAAGTGAAAAATTAAAAATCAAAAATCAAATGTAAAAGACATTTTCTTCTGGAATTGAACAAGTCTCTTACAGTTCCGACTCAGTCATAGGTTTATAAAAATGAACAGTGGACTACAATACAAGACTTTCACTACAGAATGCTGTACACACCTGATGTCCACACCCTCCCTCAGTGCCCCATTATTTGCATGCTTGCTGAGCTTGTCTGCGGAGAAGAACATAAATCTTCTCCTTTATCCAATCTTTATTGTACGGCTGGTATGTCTGAGTATCAGCACGATAGCTGGTAGGAAAAAAAATAGATCAGTTAATATTTTTCATATTGCTTTTCATCATACATTTCTGCAAAACATTTTCTTAAAACCAGTAATTCTCAACATTTTGAAATCTCATTTCCAAAAACTATTCTGTGTTTCTGAAGTAACCATTATTTTTTTGAATGCAATTCTGTAACTGTTTACGCAGAAATTAAGCATACACTATATTCATTCTATTTCAATATATAATAAAATATTACATATTTTAGGTAACAATTTTTAATGTTTGTTTTTATTTTTAAATCAACACTTTTACTCCTTTTTTTAAAAAAAAGTTTAAGCTCTTTGAATTTTATTGTAGACATATATTATCAATATAGTATAGCATGTCATAAAATGTGTAGTATTGGATGTATCATTTAGACTGTTATGGCTACAGAGGAATGCATATTTGTTTACTTAAAAGTCATATACAAGTCTTTATATATTTATTTGCCCAATCTGTAAAATACAATTCTGGGCAATCGGCAATATGACATGCATGCCCTCTGGTGGCTTCTAAAATCTAAACACTCAACGACAAAAAAGAAAAGAAAAATCAGAATATTAGCTATCATTTAAGGAACTTAAAGTACTTTTTAACAGTTGTTGTCTTTACAAGGGAATGCATTTTGAAAGATCTACTATCACAGCACTGGAGGTAGCAATTAGTACACTCCAAAAGATTACTCCATGGTTTCCATAATCTTCTAATTAAATGGGTGATGTTGCTTAGAAGTTCATAATAAAGTATCACCAATATGTTGATGACACCCAACTTTACTTCTTCACAAGAGAATCCAGTAAGACAATAGAAGTCTTGAAACAATAATAATGGAGAGGTCTAGGACTAAAAAACCTATTTCACTACAGGTAAAATGGAAGTACTGATGTTAGATGCTCAACAAGGGAAGTAAAGCTTGGTTCTTTGTTAATAGGAAAATCCTTATGCTGCCTTGACCTTAATATAGATGCTCAAATTTGCAGTGTTAAGTTGTTGCTCCTCCAAGAGATAACCTCGCTGTGATTATGCATGCTATTATAATATGAAAATAACATTATTCTAGCATGTTACAAATCTTGAACCTGGTTTGGAAACTTCCACTGATTTAGAGTAAGACCGAAAAAAATATAAATTATATACCATTCTTGAATACATATACTTTGTCTATGCACTGGCTTTCGGTGAACAACTGCACTCAAATTAATGGACTAGTTGCACTTTAAGGAAGTAAAGAATAGGACTGTACAGCAATCTGGGACTTGGAAACCTGGCACAAAGGAGATTGTACATTGCAAGGACACTTATGTTATTGCTTATACCTGTCAGAAAGTCCTTAAATAAGCTAGCCTTATTTTAAGATTTCAAAAGCTGTGACATTTGCCCTTCAAATCAGCTTTTTCTCCTCTGAATCCAGATTGCTGTACAGGTCTACTAAAAGATATATGCTAAGAAATGCCTCCTTCAATATGAAGTTGGCTAAAATCTAAGTATCTCAGAGTACCTAGTCCAAATATCCACACTGGAAGACTTCAATATAATGATCAAGTAAAAGTCTCAAATATGATACATCTTCTCCAGGGGATTTTTTTCCTTCAGCTGATAATACTACACAATTTTCATCATTCTGGGAAATCTTTTCTTTTTAAGCCTTTATAATATTTTGCACTGTTATATCAGCCATTTTTAAAGTAGCACATAAAAACAACTCCCTCATAAAAGTGTACCAGTGAATCAGTACAATATAAAATACCTACCAACATATTCCTAAATAATTCCATTGTTCAGATACTTGTTGCTTTATACTGAGATTCAATATATTCAATATTCAATAAAGAACTGTTAACATTCCATTAGATTGTACTTATAAAACATATATAAGGTGAGATGAGTCTCATCAAAAGTACTTTTTATCTCACAGCAGAAAGTTATAAAGAAAATATTGGAATGTGCTGAGATGAGTAGATTGACTTTTGAAATCAGAGAGCAAGAAGATAAACAATTTTATATAATTTGGGATCTTTTCTATCAATGGCTGAATGATGAAATACAAAAATAGAATATTTAGAATGTAAGACAATAAGGAATAATATTGATTTTACTTTTCTTTTCTCTTTTTCGGTATTGGATATTATATTTATATAATGGTTTCTTTTTTCCTTTTTTCTTTTATTTAGGATAGAACTGGTACGATTATATGATTTGTTTTAGAATAAATTACTTAAAATATAGTTATCTCATAAAGGCATGATTGAATAAAAGTATAGTCAAATTTCTTTTTCTTTAATAATGATATGATGATATATAAGTTTGTATTGACAATAAGAGTTATTATATAAGGTAATTGTAATTGTGACTATGAAATGAATGCACAAAACTGATGAACCAACCGACTCACTGTTTGTATATAAATACGGGAGAGCTGATGTTTTTATGTTTTGTCTGTTTGTTTGTGTGTTAAAAAACAATAAAAATTTTATAAAAAAAAAAAGTTATACATTATAGATGTACTTCTATTTGGGCCAATCACTCACTCTCAGCCCTGGGAAGGAAGTAATGACACCACCATCACCACACACACACACACACAAAAAACTGGTCAAGAAAACTGCAGGGATTAACCTAGGCAGTCACCAGGAATCAAAAGTGCAAAAAAATATTGTCCATTAACCATCAGCAGCAAGTAATACTTCCCACTACATTACAGTGGAATTCTGGTATTTTGATAATACTTCTAACCAGTTAATACCGAATGCAATCCAAATCAGAATTTTTTACTTCACTGTCAGCTAATTTTAGGCTTATAGTAAATTATAAACTACAGTACCTAAGCATTGGTTCTACAATGGTAAATGAAAATTTTGTGAGAGCGGTGGTGATATTAATTTGACAAATAAATACTTTCTAGATAACCAAAGCACTATCAGATAAATTATATTTGTTTCAAAAACATATTTACAAAGTAATACACTCATTATCTCTCACATATTAATTCAAGAGGCAGAAGCACAGATCAGTAACATTAAAAGTCTAATTACATATGTGCAAACCAGAATATATACGGCAGTAAAATTGTAGAATTGAAATTATATGATACATACACAAGGCAGCTAAGATCAGCCAAATCATCGATGAAATCAAATAACTGGCTAATATCATATGTAATGGAAGGGCTGTTAGGATTCATTCTCTTCAGGTGCTCTTCATACATTTTACAGACTCCTAAAAAAAGAAAAGGATGATGTTTAGCAGTTACATTACACATTTGTGCCACCTAGTTGTCAGAGTACTTGAATGTTAAGAAAAACATACAAGCAACAAGAAGAAATATGCTAACCCTATAAATAAATGCTAATTCACTTATTAGTTGAGTGGATAAATATAAATACCTTTACAATTTTGTATAAGAATTGTAAGAAAAGTAAGATACTAGATTTATTCACTTTCAACCTTCTTCATTAAATTATTAACAGAATCAAACTTTTCAATATTCATTTAGTAAGGGGTGGACCTAACTAAATATCTAATTTAGATATTGCTTCATTATTCTGCATCACTGACTATAGTGCCCAAAGCTGAGAGGCATTGGGATTCATAAGATATCCTTAGGTCAAACTGCTACAGCAAGAATCACCAATGACATTTGCTTCATTAATCTAATAAAAAGTACAGGCTTTACAGTTGTGCAATACTTTCAATCTGATTCTAAACCAGTGTTTCTAAGCACTTTGAAGCAGCTCTCTGAAGTTAACTACAGGTAGTCCTTGATTTATGACCACAATTCAGCCCAAAATTTCTGTTAAGTAAGACATTTTTAAAGTGAATTTTGCCCCATTTTATGACTTTTTTCCTCAGATGTTAGGGAATCACTTCAGATAAGTTAGTAACCCAGTTAAGTGAACCTGGCTTTGCCATTGACTTTGCTTGTCAGAAGGTCGCAAAGGGCAATCGATCACCTGATCTTGGACACAGTAATTGTCATAAATATGAACCAATTGCCATGCATCTGAATTTTGATCTCATGATTGTGGGGATGCTGAAAAGATCCTAACTGTGAAAAATGGTCATAAGTCACTTTTTTCAGTGCTGTTGCAACTTTGAACAGTCACTAAACAAACTGCAGTAAGTTGAGAGCTGCCTGTATTATTTTAATTGGCACATGGTACAAGAGAGTATGAGACTTATTAGCTATTTTCCTTCAAATGCATCAGCTCATTTTAAGAATGAACTGCCCTTTAAAAATTCAATTAAAAGTTTTTAAAAAATTACCTTCCATACATTCATTTACAGATTCATAATCTGCATAAGTCCTGCCTTCAGGTCGTTTGGTAGGCTGAACAAGCAGAATTGTGTGAGACTGAAAAGGAAAGACAACAATCTTAAAAGGGCATCAACAAACATTGCAGAAGTGTTAAAAGTTAGATCTGTCAAATGCAAATATTTTTCTTCCTGCCCACGCACACACCATTTGTTACATACATTTCTTACATACAGAAACCAATGTAGCTTTATTCTGATGCATACATCCTAGGGAAGATTCACACCCCCGCCTTTCCGCCACAGGCCTCTGACCTGGTTCTCGATCTAATTTTTCCAGAACAATTAAGATTTAAAAAAAAAAAAAAACGTAAAGCCCTTCCGATATTAATTCAACTGTTACTACTCCTATTCGTTTTATCATCGGAATTGCTTTATGATTGTTTTTTCTACAAGTCACTTTCAAATTATTAAAAAATAAAACAGGCGATGAAACCTCCCAATACATCCCCTGAAGGGGACCGTTACTTCTCTTCTCCGCTCAAGGCGGGCCTTTTTTGGGGGGGTTTGGCCAATACAAGGCAGGCCAGGGGAGGCGGGAGGAAAGAAAGTCTTATGGGGAACTCCGTCCGGAGTTGGATGCGACGGGGGCATCGCCTTTCCGAGTAGCCCCCCCCCAAACATCCCTCCCGAGGGCGGGTTGGTCCTTCTGTCCCAATGCTGGAAATATTGTAGAGAAAAAACAGGGGGGGAAGAGGGGGGGGAATCCCAGTCAACTGGCCGACCTCCCACCGCCGCCATGGCCACCTCAGGCCCAGTGCAAAAGGAGTAACGAAACGAAGCTGTTTTATTCACGTGGAAACCCTCCCCCTTTCTTTTATTTTAATTTTTTGGCAAATAATGTCAGCCCGCCTTTTCAGGCCTCAGCCTGATAAAGCCGCTCACGCTTTATCTCCTTCGACTCACCATGGCGACTCGTTCCGTTTGGCTCGGGCGCGAAGCACAAACTCCCCACGACGCTTCTTCCCACAATGCATCGCGGCTGCCGGATGCAGGGCACCCAAGGCTTTCGTGCGTCACACGAAAGACACACGCCACCCTTCCCACACCGCGGGTTGAAATCATAGAGATGCCGTTGCTTTCGCTCTCCGGTTTCAGAAGCTAGAGAGGCCTCTGTGCTTGTCCCGCGAGATTCCCCACACAGACTCTCCTTTTTAAAAAAAAAAAAAAGAGACGGAAGTTCTCATCTGGCGTCCCTCTTTGATAAGGGCGTCGCTGCTACCAGACTTTATAATAGCACGCTGGCGTTATTAAATCGGCCATCTTAAATTGGGCCGGAAGGGAAAGAACAAGTAAACCTGGACTTTATAACGTTTCCCTTCAACTGCCAAGTCTCCCGGAAATTGAGCAGGGGAGAGGAAGTGGAGGGCCCCGACTGCCACTTGGCCTTTACGGCGCTATCGGAGGGAGATGAGAGTTGATAGCGGGTTAGACGGGGAAAGGGCAGGCGGGTTTTCTTCCCGCCTTCTGTTTCCATGGGTGTAATTCCTTATTGGCTGAGGAGGAGTTGAGCTTCGGTAATGAGGCCTGGTTCGCCTGCCTGCCTGCCTTCCCTCTGAAGAAAGGGGGGGAGCCCCCTGCCTGAGCTGAGTGGGAGCCCAGCTGAGGGGAAAAGGAGAAGGCGGACTCCGGAGCGGGACTTTGAAAAGCGGCCTCTTCGGAGGTTTCCGTGAGTTTCGGCAACAAAGCAATTGAGCACTTAGTTTTTTCCCTTTTTGCACGAAAACGGGGTGGTCGCCCCGCTTGTCTGCCGCTGAGAAGCTCGGCCAAGGTGCTTGGCCCATGTGGCTTTATTCGGAGCCGCGAGGGCGAATTCCCCTGCTGAGCCGCTGAGCCTGGAGGAGAAGCCGGCCATGGATGATTTTTTATCCATCAGTTTGCTCTCCCTCGCTATGCTGATCGGCTGCTACGTGGCGGGGATCATCCCTTTGGCCGTCAACTTTTCCGAGGTAAGGAAAGGTCTTGAACACCTGCCTTCCAGGGTGTGCGGAAGAATGCAAGAGTATTGTCTGAGGGAATGAAGTCCTTTTAAAATTTGATATAAGAAATCATTTTGCTGTATGCAAAACCCTGGTTGTTGTTTTTTTCAGATTATTCCCCTGTTCTTTTTTTCAGTACTGTTGGCTAAAACTTGAAGAAAGAAACATTATTTCACAGTTGTTTTTATCTGATCTCTTGCATATGTGCATTTAAAAGTGAGTGTATGAAAAAAAAATACATGCCCACATTTTATTTATGTGCAACATAGTAAAAATATTCTGCATTTTGGAAGGAATACTTTCCAACATATTTTAAAAGATTCGGCAAGCCAAAGGCAGCTCTATATATTGTCATTGTAGTCAAATTGTGCACATGATGCCAAAACATCCTGCCCATGATATAAAAAAATATTCTGGTTATAGAAAGATATCTGCAAACATAAAACTTATTTTAATAATGGAAGCCAGATGCAATTTCATTTACTGCACAATTCAAAAGTAAACTTCAAGTCCAGTAAAGCCTATGGAACTGTCACTGAATAAGCAGGAAGTGTATACTGGTAGTACGTATAAAAATAACAAAACAGAATGCCAGGTTAAAATAGCTTGAGGAAGAAGTTTTAGCTATGGTATATTATTTGTTCTATCCTGTAAAAATACTTTGTTCACAGAAAAAAGAAACATGTAAACTTACTTGCATGCTTCAAACTTTTGCAAGCTAATGCCTGGTCATTTGACTTATTACCTATACTTAATACTTGTGGGTGATCATCAGGTCTGCCTGCTTAGAGAAAATAGGTTATTTTCCAAATAATGTGAAAAAATAATTTTTTAAACTGAAATTGCTGTAAGGATTTGAAAATGTGAAAATCTCAGAATGATTTAAATCAAAGAACCTGTAAATAGCTAAACAGATCTAAAATAAAATATTTTTAAATTTGTTTTCTTAAATGCAAATTAGAAAATTTCTGTCCAGTTCTTTGAGTAGCATTCATGCATTTTCAGAATTAATTAGGCTATATATTTCTTCATCAATTTTATTTCTATGCTGTCACAATCAAGAGACTCTCAGTCTACTGTGAGCACCCTTCATTTGTAAAAAAAAGTTTAATGCTAGATTTTATATGTAAAGTGAAAAGATAATGTGAACAGCTCATTGTGAAAGTGTGAAATGCATGTGTCACATAGATTTGCATTGTATAATTTCCTTAATAAAATATAATAGCATCAGATGTCTTGAACACAGCATTCCAAGAGCATTTGTGGATTGTGTATATTATTGTAAACCATAAAAGCTGGCTTTTGTTACTTTTAATAATGTCTGCTTCATCTTTAAAGGCTGGGATTATGTTGATCTTTCATATGATCAAATGTTTTACTTTAGATTATTTTTTAAAAATATGAGACCTGTCTTTTCTGACAGACAGTTCATTGTCATTAAGCTAACTGGTGCTTATACTTTATAGGCTAAAATATATGTTATCTTTTGAAATGTGTCATGTTACCGGAATAAGAATCAAACAGGTTATGCAAATATCAATGTAAAACAATCCTCAGTTCAGATAATGTACTTAGAAACAATAAATTATTGTGTTTTATTTTATTCTCTTTTATTAGTGTAAGTAGGCATCCACATTTCTATTCTTTCTATTCAGGATGAGGATAATGAAAAGAGACCTATTATTTTTTGTCTGTGTTGGAGTGGAAACAAGACAGTGAACCATATGGAATTGTCGATGAAGGCTTAATTAATAAACAGCAAATACATAGTATGTCTAAAATACTATGGGAGTGTTTTATAGGGAGAACAAATACAGTATGGTTCAAAGGTCTGATAGCAAAGGGGTCCATGACCTTTTCCAGTTCCAAGTTATCCACCATTAAAGTAAGCACTGGAAATGAATATGACTGTTTTCTCCATATATATTACACAAACATGTATCCACACTCACATGCATAACAGCATTTATCTTCAAATTTCCTTTAATTAATTATTTTACCTTTTATTTTCAGGAAAGATTAAAACTGGTTACAGTTCTTGGCGCCGGGCTCCTTTGTGGAACTGCCTTGGCTGTCATTGTGCCTGAAGGAGTACATGCACTTTATGAAGATCTTTTGGAGGGTAAGAAAATGACTCTTATTCTGGTACAAGGAATTTGGAATAAAACAGACTTTTTGGTTCAGACTATAAACATTGAGTACTATGGAAGAGAGATTTGTTTTTCCCTCCCCAAAATTAAATGCAAAATGCAGGAGGACTTTACTTTTTTAAAACAGATTTTATCCTGTGGCACTTTAAAATTTAATTGTGATATATTGTGATTTAAAGCTATGTATGAAGTTATATAGCTTTTTCTTGGTTAGTTCCTTTCTCCAAGTTTGCTGTGTCCTGGCTTTTACACTTAATTGTTATGATTTAAAAGAGATTTGTAAATTGAAATCCTGCAGACTATATGTTCTAGTTCATGTGATCAAATTGAATAACAACTGAACTTCGTATCAACCACAATTCAGCTTCAACTTCTTTGTTTATAGACATTAGATGTTTCAAAAAACAATGTAGTAGCTTGAAGGAATATAGAGGACAGGGCCGGATCTATTTCTTATTTCCTTCACTTAATCTTAACAACTGGATGTAATTCTAGAGAATCATTGCAGAAGCTGAAATCAGATGAATAAATACCATTGGCGAATGTATTTAAAATAAGCAAATTTATGTCAGTTTATATAATTACATACATTTGATTGTAACAGGTGTTTTGGTAATAGAGTCCCGTTTTCTACAGCAATGGTTGCCAACCAGTGGGCAGGGGACCACTGGTGGTCCGTGAGAACATTTTGGTGGTCCGCAGAGAAATGTCACCCCCAAAGCAATTAATCTAGGCTGCGTGGGAACACCAGGCTGTGCCACTCACATGGCCTGTGGGAACACAAGGCTTGCATTGCGAACAACATGAGATAGTGAGGGGAGAGGGGAAAGGGCGGGGGGGGGGGAACTTGTCTCACCCACCCCATGCGCCTCACCTTGCAACTAGGCTGCTTCTTTCCATTTCTTCTTCTGTTTTTGGCTGCACGCAAGGAAAGCAGCAAAAGTCTTTCTTTCTCTCCCCCAAACTCCGCCAGAAATGAGTATTTGGGACTCAGCAAGGCATCCTGCTTCAAGAGGCTGCGCTGGCACAAGTTTCACAAAGACTCGTTTCTGGTGGAGTTTGTGAGAGAGAAAGACTTCCGCTGCTTTCCTTGCATGAAACCAAAAGTCTCTTCTCCTCCCCCCCCCCCCCCCCCCCCAATGGATGGTATCCTGCGATCCCAAATAAAGAATGATCACTCAGTAGAAAAACAGGGTAGGGAAATTTCTTGCAGACTTTTTAGGGGATTTTCCCAAGGTCTCTGGTCCGTGGGATTTAAAATTATGAGTTTGGTGGTCCCTCGGGTCCAAAAGGTTGGCAACCCCTGTTCTACAGCATCTCAATACTTTAAAAAAAAATATAATACATTTTCCTGCCCATATATCTTAGAGAAGATCATAATATCACGTAATATGACATATGGTTATCCTGCTTGAGCAACTATATATGTTTTATCAGCTTTAATTTCAATATTTTATCAAATGCTTACATGGTCTCAAATTCTCTAAGTTAGACTACAATGTGGTGGCTTACATCAGGGGTCCCCAATCCCTGGTCTGTGGATCGGTTCCAAGCTGCAGCATGCCAGAAACTGAGCCACGCAAACAAGTCAGGGTCCCATCCACGGAATGCAGGCAGCATGCTAAACCATGCCCCCTCTGGTTTGTGGGAAAGCCTTTCTCCATGGAACCTGGTGCCCAAAAAGTTGAGGGCTGCTGGATTACATGGTTAGGACACTGGGTTGGAGGTTAGCAAACCTGCCTTCAGATTTGAAGGCAAGTTTGGACTGAGGGCTGTTATGGACTGCTGTGTGGCAGGGTCAGGTCCCATCATTTTCTCCAGCTCTACAGGTGTTTCCACCCCCACCCTGGGCAATGGTGCTATTATCAGCTAATCCCTTCATCCAGAAGCTCCTTAAACTTGACAGGGGTACAGCAAATGGCCAGGCCTTAGGTATATTAAAAGTGAAGCCTTTAATAGTTCATTGCCTCTTTAAAATCTTTTTCATGTTGATAAGGGGAGGGACAGACAGAGTGCTGATAAGAAAGTAAATACAGCTTTGTTGGAACTTAGATAAGCAGGAAATTAGAGTTTTCCAGTGGAGGATAGCAGATTATTTGGGCCACAGAAACACTTATCTAAGCTTACGATAGCCTCCTGTAAACTCTCATGGCCTCCTGTAAACAGATGAGAAACATGCATTTACTAGGGGACTTTGGGGTTTAGCAATTTCTTTCAAATTTATATTGTTTTAGCTTGTATTTTTGTTTTAATAAGCATGTTTTGTAAAAATAGCTAGGAGTTCATCTAATAGTATGTGTTCAGATAAATTTAAGAAATACTGCTTGGATTTTTTTTAAAAAAATGAGTAAAATCAGAAATTTTTTGATGCTTATAATGATTTCATTTGTAAAATAGTTAAAAGGATTTATCAAACCATCCCAATTTATTTTCCTAACCCTTCCTTTGCCCTCCATAAAACTCCACGGTAACTGGCTTTGTGCAGTGGGGTGGGGACTGCCTTTGAGTCAGTTTTTGACTCTTGGAAATTCCCTATTTTCTGAAGTGGTTTCCCATTGCCTGCTGCTTAGGGCTGAACTGCCCAAAGTCACCTAGGGGGCTTTGTTGATAGGCAGGACTAAAATGCAACGGTTTTCTAGACTAGTGCTTTAACTACTCCACCAAACTGGCTCTCATTACTGGCTGTTATTCCCTGTAAATAACTTGAGTTCAAAACCTTTGTTCAAACATTTCATGACTGTTAAGCAATGTTTACTAATTTGGGGGATGGGGCAAAGGTTATTTATTTTAACCTGTTATTTGATGATGTTATTAGCATCCTGAACTACATCTTTTCTTCAAATAATTTTATTAAGGTTTGCAAATTGAAAGGATAAAATAAAATAAAACTACAACAAATACCAAAAAGAAAATAAGAGTAGAAAAAAGAAGACTGAATTATACCCTTATCCTTAACAGATAGTTTCAGATATTTAACAATTCAGTGAAGGAGAGAGAGCAGTAGCTGAGAAAGGGATAATATTTTTGCATTGTTTTAGTTTGCTGATATTTATCACTCTCTGCAGAAATTAATAACCCCGGCAACTGTAAACCATAAGCATGATTTCTTCTCAAAAACACTATGTAGTTCTAAGGGGAGGGATAAGGTCTGCATTCCATCTTAATGGAATGAGGATAGATAGAATGCATCTCAACACAGTAATTCAGGAGAGACAAGCATCCAAATAGCAATCAGTGTATTACAGCTCATCAGATGTTAACTCTTTTCCTCTTCATGGTTCTGTCATATTCTGCTAATCCCTGCATCAGATGGACTGCTGGAAAGAGCTGCATTTGTTTGAAGGGTAATAATCTGGGGCCATCCAAAGCACCAGATATAGTAGCTCTCAAAACACAAATACACAATTAAGATTTTCTTTCCTGTACTTGAAAAGAATTCAGTGGATTAATTGGACTAGGTTTCTCAGTTCATGGTCCAGTCACGTGAAAAAAGAAAATATGAGCAAATGCTACACAGAGATTTGCGTAATTTAATAGGCCTGCAAATTCTGCTGTTTATACTTTATATTGAACTTTTCTCTTAGTTTTGAATGATGCTACACATTTTAATAACATTTTAAATTTGATGTTTGATATATCCTGATTGGTATATTTGAAGATTGAATATGATTGAGAACAGATTGTCAAGTTCACTAGAGCAGTCATGCAAAATTGCCGTGCCTAATGGCTGATGTATGCTGTGATATATCTAAGGATAGTGATCATTTCAAAGCATGTTTCTAGTATTATTGCAAGAAATTCTGTGCTTATTGTATTTCTTATTATTTGAATATCTTTTAAAAGCAGACTCTTATTATTCATTACCATAATTGTTCAGTTATCCACCCAGGAATACAGTCACATGAAAAAGGAAGTATACCCCATTGGAATGTTCCACTTTTTCAACATATTTCAGCGCACAGATATTTGATCTTTAATTTAATAATATTGATAATATAACAAATTTTCACCATTTATATTTTGTAGTCCATTGTGCAATTTAATTGAATGTAAATGCAAATTTTGCACAGTACACTGTGAGTTTTTTCTTTCTTTTTTATCATACATGGACATACCAATATTTTGTTTTCATTCAAAAAGTATATTTTATTTATTTGTCAAGTTCTGAAATTACCAATCTCTCTCACAGAGGAATTGCAACAAATAAAAATTCCGGTGTACAAACAAAATATTAAAATATAAAAACATAAGATTTAAAAAGAGGCAAAGATGATTAAAAACTAATGTTAAAAGGAAAGGGGGAGGACTTTCAGGGCACTAACCACCCTGACAGCTATCTGCTCTTCTGTGAGCCCAAAGCAAGCCATGTTTTCACACCTTTCTGAAAGGCCAGGAGAGTGGGGGCATGGCTCATCTCTGGGGGCATAAAGAGGGATAGTCTAATTGAACAAAAAGCTATACAAAATGACTTTGGATCATTTATTTAACAAAAAATTAGCAGATATGCTATTTCATTCTGTAGAAAAAGTAAGCACAACCTTGCTTCATATACAGTGACTTCTCCCCCCCCCCCCCCAATGTGTACGTATGTTATATGGTAGGGTATGGCTGCAGTATTATTATTTATCCCCTTTATTATTTTTTACTTCCCTCTTTTATTATCTGTAAACTTTAGTGTTTATTATTGTATTCCACTGTTTTGCAAGTACACTGAGTACTTCTGTATTGTAGACAAAGTCCTTGAGCTAACCACACTTGGCCAAATAAATGAAGTATAAGTACACTCTAATCCCTGCTATTGTTCCCTTTGGCAGAAATAATCTCAAATACACATTTCTTATAACTGTCTATCACTCTCCAAGATAGACTGGGAGGATTTTTTTACCCATTCCTCCATGCTGGTGGAGGTTATTCCAACTGTGCAATATCTGGGAAGGTTTTTTGCATGCATAGGCCTTTTCAAATCACCCCACAGCATGGTGGGTTTCCTGGAATGTTTAGAGTCATGTTGCAAGGTTCACTTTCGATAGAGCTTCAATTTTCTAACAAACGGTCTCATGTTATCTAAACACCCTCTGGAACAATGAAGAATTCATAGTGCATTTTGTGATGGTGATCTCCCCAGGCCTTGAAACATCCCCAAACCATAACATTTTCACTACCATTCTTTACAGTTGATATAATGTTCGTCTGGTGAAATGTTGCCTTTGGTTTTCACCAAACATGTGCCCTGATACTGTGGCCAAATAATTTGATTTTTTTTTTTGCCTTGCTGCTGAGAGCACATTGTTCTAGAAGTCCTGGTGTTTGTCTAGGCCAAGCTTGTCCAACCCGCGGCCCGCGGGCCGCATGCGGCCCAGGTCGCCTCATAATGCGGCCCAGTGCCCACCCCAACCTTTGTGCCAGAGCCAGCGAGGAGGAGGAGGAGGAGAGGCAGGCGCGGGGCGGGGCGAGGCAAGCGCCAGGCCAAGCAGCAATAGAAAAGGCGGGCGCCGTCAGATCGCCACCTCCTGCTGTTGCCACCACCGCCGCCGCTTCTGCCGCCGCCCCCGCCGCCGCTTCTGCCCCCGTTGCCCCTTCTGCCCCTGCCATCGCTGCCGCTTCTGCCGCCGCTTCTGCCCCTGCCGCCACTGCTTCTTCCCCCGCCACCGCTGCTGCTTCTGCCCCCGCCGCCGCTTCTGCCCCCGCTGCTTCTGCCCCTGCCACCACTGCTGCTTCTTCCCCCACCACCGCCGCCGCTTCTTCCCCCGCCGCCGCCGCTTCTTCCCCCACCACCGCTGCCACTGCTGCTTCTGCCTTCCAGTCCTGCCTCATCCAGCCGGGCCATTTGCAGGAGGAGAGGTAGGCGCGAGGCAGGCAAGCTTTCTCCCCCCCCCCTTGCAAAATTTGGCCGGAAAATAAACCATGATAAAAAAAAACGTGATAAAAAAAGTGATAAAAAATAAACAATTTTTAATAAATAATAAATAATAAAAACATCTCACTAACTTCATTTCCAAATAAATTTAATATGTTAACTATGTTTTCTATGGTTTTTTTGGATGATCAGATATCGTTACTGTTATTTTATTTTATGTGCAGCCCAAACCAAATTTTCATCTTCTAATGTGGCCCAGGGAAGGTGAAAGGTTGGACAAGCCTGGTCTAGGCATTCATGAGCAAACTTGTTCTGATGTGTTCTTTTTGGGCAGCAAAGATTTCCTTCTGGCATACTTCCAATGTATATCTGTGCAGTTTTCTAATGGTAGACTTATGTACTTTAACATTAGTAGTGATGAGACAGACTTGTGGATCACATGAAACTATGGGATTCTTTTTTCAGCAAAATGATTCTTCTTGTGGGTTAAAGTTGCTGAGATGGCCTGGCCTGGCCAAGTTGACAGTTGTTTGAAATCTCCTCTTATAGATAATTTTCTGGACAATTCTTGTGCACCTAGTCCTAATTTTAGATAACTCAGGTTGTGATAAATATAGGGATGTTTTTACATTTTTCACATACATTTGTTTATTTAAATTACAAAATGCACTACAAAATGTAAATGTTCATGATATGTGTTATATCCTCTTTATCAATATCATTGAAATGGAGATCAAATGTGTCTATATTGGAAAAGGAAAATATTTCAATGGGGTGTACTTTTTCACATGACAATGGATTGATTTGAACCATAAAAATACTCTGCCAAAACAGAAAATGAATACAATAAAAAGATGGCTTCCATTAGACATTGAAGATATTTTGCCCAAAATACTTACTTCTAGCCTTTAGAAATTCAGATTCCTGTCTGTTTGCTTTATACCTGCAGATATATACTTTTACTTTCATTCAGTTATTTGATGAAACAGTTATGTGATGTTATAGACAGATATTATATTATATTGAAGTCATGTTAATCAAACAATTGTTTCTGATCAATTTTAAATCATATTCTAAATTTTTTTTTTACAAGATTTGAAAACTAATTAATCACTTTTAAAATTAAAAATGTTCCAAAGAGTGCTTTGATTTGACTTTTAGCATGTTAGGAATTGAGCCTTTTGCAGTTCTAATTTCATCTGTTCTTTTTGGTTTCCTTTAGCAAAGCACCAGCCAGTCAGTGAGAGTCAAAAGGTCGTTGAATCTGAGAAAGCAGATGTTCCAGATGTGCATGATCATAACCACAACCATGACCATTCAAGATTACATGCTTACATTGGTGTTTCTCTTGTTCTTGGCTTTGTCTTCATGCTGCTGGTAGATCAGATTGGCAGTTCTCACGTCCACACTGCAGATGGTAAGCCAAAGTTTTTCTAATAGGCAATCAAAACGAGAACAATTATTTGGAAATATTCAAATAACTAAATATTTGTTGTACATGATACTGTGAATATGAAGAAAGATGGGGATGAATTTTGGAGCAAAATAACATTATTTTCACCCATATGATTTTGCAACCCAACGTTTGCTCAAAAATTTACACCCTTAATGGTGAAAGAAAATAGTGTACATGAGTCCTCACTTAGCAACTCATTGGAATGGAAATTTCTATCGCTAAGTGATACAATTGTCAGGTTAAATATCACATGATTGCACCGCTAAGTGGTGACAGATGTAGTAGTTCTGGTTGTGGCTAGGACTATGCTATCCTTAGGCAAAAACTTCACCCTTGTCCTGCCCTGCTGCTCTTGCCTCCACTTCAACTCCCCATCTGCCTGTTATCTCTCCCCGCTTCCCCAGACTCTGCCCTTTTGGCCATCCAGCGGTCGGCTGGGCTTTCCTAGTCTTACAAGGACTCATGTGGCCAGAAGCTGCTTTGCAAAGGGCCAGGTGAGACACACCTTGTAAGCAGCAGGAAGAAGAAGATGGCAAAAATTGACAGCAGGAGCAGTGGATGGCAGGATGGCAGAGGGCAGAGGCAATGGAATAAAGGGTGGCTAAAAGGGTAATAATGGAGGGACAGATAGGTGGTGGGAGGAACTGAAGCATACTGTTGTATGGTTGTAAATGCAGGTAGGCTTCTAAATTTTAATTGTGACCATGGAGGTGATTTCACAGCTGTAACTTTATGGACCGGCCATAACTAACATTGTTCAACACTATCATAACTTCAAATTGTCACTGAATGGCCATTAAGGTAGGGCTTTAGAAATTAGGAATTTAGAAATTGTAGAGATTGGAATTTGTAGAGATTTTTGGGAAAATAAACAAATGAGCTTCTAGCTTTAAATGAAATTTAATAAACCCATGAGTAATTCTTTTTCTTGTGTAAATAAACCTTCTAACTGGTTAAACAAACAACTATTGTGATGGCTCAATTCAGTGTAGTAGATTTGCCTGAGATTTCTGCTAAAAACAAAGTAAATGGCAGAAAGGGTTTATTTTAACCAGAAAATACTTGAACATTGAATATTGAGCACTGAAACATTGTGCTTGGTTCTTTGCAGGTACCTGTGGAGGCATGCCTTCCGCACCAAGCCACAGTGTTCTGATATAATAAGCATGTCACAGAGAACATAATCCCATCTTTAGTATATTTCTTTAACCCATAACTAACCTACTGCCAATCATAGTTACATTCTACTTGACAGGAACTAAACCTAATCATTGTTAAACCATGTAAAAGTGATTTGGAGCCCATGCTTTTCTGATCGCTCCATCTAACAGCTGCATTTCAAAGCTCCTGCCTGATATTTTCACTGTTTAACAATGGTTACCTGTCAATGTTAATTTGCCTCCACCCTCTTGGCCTTCCAGGTGGGACTTAAAACCTGGGTCTGCTGATTGGCCTGGGTCCTGATGGGGGCGTGGGTGTATTAAGAAAAGATCCTGCTTCCACCTCATTAGATATTGCTTGCTTCTTAATCTGTATTAATTTTAATATGTATCACTTTAATATTGTAATGTTTTATATTACCATTTTTATCTTGTTGAAAGCCACCTGGAGTCACTTGATGGCAAGGTGGGCATCATATAAATTTAATAAATAAATAAAATATTAAACAGCATCTTTCAAAAGGTTTCAATTTCATGGAATATTCCATCCTCTTAAATGGGAAGAAGGGAAAGAAGGAAGGAAAGATACAAAGGCACTGAGAAAGAATTAATAGAGATAATTTAGTTTGATGAAAAATTGTTATTATAATCTGTTCACAATAAAGTCATAACTGCCAGTTCTTTAGCTGGTGTTGGCCTTCTTATTCATCGATTTCCTCCTAAGAACCTGGAATGTCTAATGTATCCGCATAGTGTATAGTGTACGTATATTATCCTATATAAAAAGCCTCCGGAACTCAGTCTTCTTCTAGTTTCTAGGCCATCACTGTAATCACTTGACTAAAGTGGCTTTTTAACCTATATTAACTTCTATTTGAATATTAACTTTTCTAATGTTTCTTCATTTCAGTTTCTGCTCATACTCTCTTACTTATGTCTTTTTGACTAAGATTTCTTTATTATTTCAGACCCAGAAGCAGCAAGGTCGGGCAATTCCAAAATTACTACTACACTAGGACTAGTTGTCCATGCAGCAGGTAAGTTAATGTTATTGGTTGGTTATGTTTTTCTTTTTAAAAAATGATGCAGGTATTGTCAAGTTATGTGAGTTAGGGTTAAGCTATAATTGCATGACATTATCCCAGTACTTACTGCTACTAATAATGGAATAATGCTGTGGACCTCCTTTTTATTCTTCTCCCCAAGTTTAGTCCACCTTGAGATAAGAGAGCAGGGAAGAGACTAAACTGAACTGCAGGAATATTTGCCTACGATTCTCTGCAGCTCAGGGCTATTGTGATTTTTAATAGGAAAATACATATGTCATCCAGTCTATAGGCTTTAAGTTTCTAGAGCTTTATTTCTAATAAAAAATGTTTGTCCTCTAGAATTACATTTGGAGACAAATCTTTTTAAGTTTTTTTTAAAAATCTAAACAAATATTTTTACTTTGTTTCTGCAAAACCATTACAATGTAAAGTTCAAAAATATTGTGGTTTTGCATTTTTTGTATATTATAATATGAATTACTGCTTCTCTCTTGCTACTGTACTGTACTTAACTACAAGTGCACTATAAATAAATTTGCTGCTGCTACTTTATACATTTGTTTCAAACACTGTAGCAATATATCTGAATTTTTAGACCCTATATCTCCTGCCCTAAAACATACATTCCCTTTTCAACTTTTAGAATGAGTTTTAGAACTTTAAATCCCCAATTAGTTATGTAAAGCAAAATTGACATTTAATATACCTAGATTTCACAATGAATCTACTGATAATTTAAGGAGGAAAGTTATTAGTTGTAAATTTATTTCTTCATAATATTGGTTTAAAAAGCCAGCCTAGCTCAAAACTGACTCACAATTTGCTCTGTGTTAGGTGACCAAGCCATGAAGGACTGTGACAAAGAATTCCCAGTTCAGGAAAGGGCATAGTTGGTGCATCAGATGAATATATGCAAGGGCCTTCCTGATCATAGCTAGTTCTTGCTCAGAGAATAGAAACTGTGAATCCAGGAGAACCTAATTATGCACCACCCCTGAATGGGGAAATACAACTCGATTAGATCACTGGGACCAGAAGAACCAAAAATATAGCAACAAAGCACAATGTTGCAAAGAACTAAATAAAACTGTTGGCTATGTGACCATTCCTGATTCAAAACTGTTGCCATGGATCTACTCCGAAACATAAATATTAAAACCATCAGCAGGAATGGGAGAGCAGGTTAAGATAAGAGAATCAAGTAACAGACTTACTCTTGTATAATTTAGCTCCACTAACTCTTTGATCAGTGGATGGATTCACTATCATGTGGCTTGTTTTTCCTTCCTCCCTCATTAAGCTGATGGTGTTGCCTTGGGTGCAGCTGCTTCTACATCTCAGACTAGTGTCCAGCTAATAGTATTTGTTGCAATTATGCTGCATAAGGTAAGTTTTGAATATGAAATTTTTCCATGCTTCTTTCATCAGTGAATGATATTTGTTATTAGGCATCATAGACTTCAGTGAAGTACAAAAGCTCTTTAAAAATATCCGTGCACTTTTTAAAGCATTTCTGTTTGCTTTTGTATTTAGGATTGCATCTAGGAGTAGAGGTATGCAGTTATGTACTGTGTAGGTGGGAGTTTTGTGCTAGCCCAGTAATAACATGTAGTAAGTAGCAATTCTTCTTACTGATAAATTTAATGTAATTAGAAGATACTTTATATACAGCTAATTTTGATTAGAATCACATAGATCTTGTATAAGAGATAGTGGCTAATTCTGAACAATTACTGGGCCTGAAACTATACTAATTTTATATTTTGGATTTCTTGTTATAGCAACAGGGCCAAACAATCTCTTTGATTTTCCAGAATTACATTCTAATTTAACTAAATTAGAGATTGCTGCCATAGAAATTGTATTTTCACAATATGCCATGGTACATGTTTGTAATCACAAAATTACCTGAATGCAAACAAATAAGATTGCTACTCACCAGCCTCTTTAGCTCTCCACGATGCTTTTATCATAATAATCTGTATGTATTATTTTAATATTAAAATAAGAATTTTAGTATTTTTTTTTACTAAAAAGTATTTGTTAATAAGAAATAACTTTTTTCAACTGTATGGCGTATAGTGTTATAAGGAAGAGGAAAGCATGTATTTTTATTATACTCGAAGTGTGCTATCCTCCCCATTATAGTATTTTAGTAGCAACTCTACTATCTCACATTAAGGGAGTGCTATACTGATGATACATTATACTCCATCAACAGAAAAACTTAAGGAAGGGCTCAGTAATGTGCTACTGGCATTTGATCTTACTAAACATTCTATTTTGCAAATGAGGGGAGTACAGCTTGTTTTATACTTGAGGATTACATATTTAATTTCTTTTATGTTGTAGGCACCTGCTGCTTTTGGGCTTGTCTCGTTTCTTATGCATGCTGGCCTTGAACGAAATCGAATCAGGAAGCACTTGCTGGTTTTTGCACTAGCAGCACCTGTTTTGTCAATGGTAACTTATCTGGGATTAAGCAAGGTAAAACAGCTGTGAAACATGAACAGTTTTAAATAATCAGATTAATCATATTTACCAGCCAGTTGTGCATCAGTATGCTTGTTAGGGAAGCTGTATCGCAGATGCTTAAATATTTGGCATTTTGTTTAATAGAGCATTTTTGCTGGATTATGAATTGTTCTTTGAGTGAAAGTATTGCATACAAAATGCAATTAATTGGTCTTGTGTTGACTTTTTTTAACTAACATCAAATCATGGATTTTATATAAGTCATCTGTCAGCATTTAGATTTTTTACACTGACAACAATTTGCAGGGTAAATTTCCCATTGGTAGTAGAGGATTTTAGATCTCTAGAACATTCTTTGAGGTGAGGTATAATGCTTTCTAAAGATATTTTTTTGAAATTTCAGTAGAATAGCCATTGAAGAACAATTTAAGGAAGGATGAACTTTATATCTTATCAGCATTTTGCCTTTTTTTATTTTACAGAGCAGTAAACAGGCACTTTCAGAAGTCAATGCCACTGGAGTTGCCATGTTGTTCTCTGCTGGGACTTTCCTGTACGTTGCCACAGTTCATGTTCTTCCCGAAGTGGGTGGAATGGGACACAGCCATAAACCTGAATCTGCTGGAGGCAAGGGACTCAGTCGCCTGGAGGTGGCTGCATTGGTTCTGGGTTGTTTGATTCCTCTGATTTTATCTATCGGACACCAACATTAAAACTTGGAAGACCAGCATTTCCCCCCCTCCCTCAATCTGATATAAGCAGCAGTCAGTTGCTTTTTGTATTGCTGTCTCTCTTACCCTGGTAACCACCCCGTGTATGTTAAGGAGTTGGAGAGGATCATCATTTCAACAAGAAAACTGTGGGAAAACTCAATATGAGAGAGAGAGAGAGAGTACTCTTCAACAGCTAGTTAAAAATCCTGCATAATTTCTCTTTTCTAAAGATATTTTAATTATGACTTCCTACCTATTCTCAGGGAAGCTGGACCTTGGATATTATCTGGGAAGATCCTTGCAATTCATCATGAAATCATAATCCAGATATTCTGTATGTCAGCATTCAGAGCTGATCTCTTGACAGTATCATGCTATCTTCTAATATGCAGGAAGATTGTTCCCATCTTCCAAATGTTCATGCATTAATAATGGCATGGGCTGACTTAGAAGGAGGCATCTGGTGAAGAATATTTGTGAGGATGAAGTTGTAGGCAAAATTTGTATTAAAGAAGTTTACTAGGATTCTTGCATTGAATTATTATGAAAGCACATTTGTTCCTTGATTTTAACAGGCTAGACAGTACAGAAGAGAGCCACATTTAGCAGAAGGTTAGATTATTCTGAGCTCTAAGAAATATTATTTTTATTCAAATGAATGCTAGTTTATTTACAAAATATTGCTTTTCAAGTAGAATAAGGTAAGCCCTGTTCATCAGACATCAACATCAAAAGCAAAAGTGTAATACTTTCTGATATTACTACCAAAAATCATTCCAGGTTGTGAGCTTGTATTGAATTAAATGTCTGAAGTCTGTTAAAACTGAGTATCAATACACCTCTAGAACACAATTCTACTCATCGTAGTGGTTCAAAAAGGTAACTGTAATTATTACAAAAAAAACTGTCAAAGCCATTGTCTTAAAAAAAAATTAAATGGTAAAAATATATGTTGATTACTGGTGCACAGTTTTCTATATACTTTAAATTTTCAATCATATTGTCAAAGTCATTAATAGTTAAAATTTTATTTATAAACAAGATGAAATAGTGTTTGAGTGAAATGGTTTTTACTGGACTGGTTTCTCCATGAGATAAATCTGTTCCTTTCCTCAGTAAATGTTTACAGTCCAGTAATTAATGAAACTTCTTTTCCATGCCTACCTTGCTCACATATTATATTTCCTTGACAGTGGATGTTAAGGTTGTTCAGAATGGTTATGCTTTAACTGGCAGTTCCTACTTATTGAGTGACTATTGGTTGTGCGTCAATAGACAATATCAGTTTTTCATTACAAAAAATCTTGCCTTTTATGATGGGGGGGGGGGCATAATGTCAGTACCAGAAAGGACTTAACATTAAATAATATAAACATGACTTTTTCTAAAGGTTTTTTTAAAGCTGATACTCAACAGACCTATTGACTGCTATTCTTTCCAATATGTGTTTTATCAGCTGCGTACATTTATATCATCAATAACTGGGATAAATCCTCTGTGCTAGTGTGGACCAAGCATCATAAAATGGTGCTATCAATTGCCTAGTAAATCACAAATGGACCTGCCAGTTGCACTTGATCTCTAAGAAAGCATTTCAAATATTACAGTTTTAGAATTTTCTTCTCTTCTGTGCTAGGAGAGAGAATAGAAACACGTTTGTCAAACCATGGGACAAAACCCCCAGATATACATGAATTGAGGTGGTTAATGTGTCTGTCACGTTTGCACACTTAATGACTGAAAATAAAAGTCATAAAATGCCAAATTACCATTGCTGGGGAAAATGACAAGAATGTCTATTCTTCCAACTAGAAAGTTGGGAAATAATGGCAAAATGACAAGTCACCAAACTTGATTGAAATGTCATTAATATAGAAATATTTGGAAAAAGAATAGGGATTCTGGGATAAAATTTTGAGTTGAAATTGTATTTTTTTTTAAAAAAAATTATTTGATCATTGTATGTAACAGAGAGAGAACTTCAGGAATTCTGTTTTAAGCCAGACTCAGCTTTAAGTGCTTACTTATGAATTTGTGAAAGCAAGTCTGTTAGTTCTATCTTTCCTATTTCACTTCACTGGACTTGTGCTCGATAGGTAGAACTAAATTATTATTTGTAAGGCAATGGCTTAATGTGTGACGTTTATTGCACAATAAACATCATAAGGCACAGGGAATCATAAGTACAGGGAATGCTTGTGGGGCTGATTTGCTCCTGTGTGGGAGCAAAGGTGCCTTGAATACTTTGCCAGTATTTAATTGCTAACTAGTGTTGTAGCAGTGGTGAGATATGAGAAGGGAATTTCTTATGAATAAAAAAAATTATGTAGCACAATTCCAGAAATTTGATCTCTTGTAATACTCTTGTAAAGCTCCATTTGAGAAATCTGGATTGCCCAGATTTTAAAAATCAATGTAAAATCATTGCTTTTTGTAGTCTAATTCTACTCTTCTTGACTCTTATTACTAATCCCATCCAAATTGTACTCTGAACTTCCCAGTAAACCTGAAAGCCATGGATTACTAAATAGAGGTACATCATTAATACATTCTTACAAATGCCAACACTTCCAAAAGTCACATCAGTTGCAGACTGAGTTAAAAGTGGAAATGTTTCACTATGAATTGTGTCTGTATGCAACATTATATTCAGTCACCTAATTGCCATTATTCATAAAACAACCTTTGGCCTATGCTGGAGAAATGTAAGTTTACAATATTTGACAGATATACCAAGGAAATGCAGTATCTTCAATTGAAAGGAAATGTCTTGGAATTTCTGAAACAATGGAAAAGAGAAGCTCAAAAGTGATTTTCCAGTATCCTAAGTGAAAATAATTTTTAATATCCAGCTGTACCGGAATGGGAAAACTTGAACAATAAATTGTGCTGCTGTGCTGTTTATGATGAACCATAGGTAACTTGGAACATGGGAAGCCCTTGCTGCAGCATTTGAAGGAGAATATCCATTTCAAAAAGATACGAACTTTTACATGTTTCTGTTATGTCCCTAACCAGCTATGATTTTATGGGCAGTGTTCCCTGGTCATAGCTGTATACCTGATTCCTTATACTAAAGTGTAATTTTAATGTCTTTTCTAAATCATTTGTACACATGAGATCATTCCATGGATGGCTGCCTTATTTTTAATTTTTTCACTTTAATTGTGAACTGTTTAAATATGTTTTTATTATATTAAAAATTATTTGCTGCATTGTTGAAATAAGTTGTCTTATTTTTAATGGTGACAAAAAAGCAATATGTAGATTCTTCAAGGGGAAATGGTTTATACTTTGCTTTCTCTCATTTTTATTTCCTTATTCACTTCCAGAAACGGATTAGATAAAGCAATTTTAGAAGAACCCAGTGAAAAGCATAATAAATCAGCATACTTTGGCCATCCCCACCCCCCCATCCTGGTGCATCCAAATGTAACACACCAAAGTATTAAATGTACTTACTTAAATATTTCTTTTATTTTCAAAACTTGTTGATTTACATACTCTTGAAGACCATTGGAAACTTCTGTTGGACCATAGTTATCATGAGTTATCATGATAACTCCCTTCTGTAAGCTACAGCTAGGTGCAATTCAAAGTGCTGATGATATCCTAGCTGACAGAACTGTGTTGCCTGTTGGACCAACTGCTCCTGAGGGTATATTTGCCCATCCCCATACATTCTGAAGGAGAAGGCAAAAAACTCTTAGTCCTTTCTTTGACATTGTCATATTATGAGACCCAGGAGGTGTGCCGCCTTTGTGATGTACCCTGCCATTTGGAATGATCTTTTCTTAGATATAAAGTTGGCCCCAACCATTCATGCCTTTAGGGGGGGAAAGCAGTCAAGACCTGGCTTTTCTCTCAGCCCTGGGATCAGGTTGAATTGAGTCCACGATGGTAAGAGAAGGGTTTTCAGTTCTCTTTGTCCTGTCATTGTTTAGTATGTTTTAATTTGTTTGTTTTTTGTATTATGGGCTTTTTGTCCACTACCCAGAGTTACCTGGTTTGATTTCGGCAGCCATGTCAATGCATAAATAGCCACAAATGTACCACATACTGTTAACTCCAAACATTTCTAAGGAAAATGTATTTTTTTAAAAAAATCCAAACTTAAATTTGTTTAAATGGAACTGGAATGTCTTGGAAATTTACTCAAATACCTATCCAGCTGGATAGAAAAAGGCTAACCAAAAATTATTTTTAATGTATTTTCTCTAACAAGCTACTTGTGCTTCTCAAACTAAAGTTAGAAGATAGAATCCTGCTTATAGAACTTGCTATCAAGTCTTTCTTATGAAAAAGTTATTCCGCTGCCAGGTTTTGGGCATCTCTGTAAAAATACAAGTTGTGGGTAGGTATTGAGGTTGGAGAGAGAGGCTTGTAAATATGTGCAAAAGTGAGCAGGTAGTTTGTCTATCTCTAGTTGACCTTTCTAAGTACAGACCACAATCTTAACAAAACAATTGTGTACAGCACTTTTCCCCCATCTCTGCCGTACGGTACTGGCCTCCCATGATTTTGGTGGGAGTTGGAGAGGAAGATAACAGGCAATTACAAATTGAAAAAGGGGAATTTGAGGACATCTTATTTCTGCTATATGTTACATATGAATTTTCAAAAATTGTCATGGCAGGTAATCAAAATAAGATATACCAATTTGCTTCGAATTAAAGAGTTTAAGTTTGTTTTCTATAAATCGATATCAAAAGATGCAGACTCAAAAAATTGAGTCAAAATTGGACTCCTTTGCAGTGATTGCAAATTATGTGGTAGCATTTTGAAATTTCCACTGAATAACTGGTAGACGGTCTTTTTGTTTTATTTCTGGAAATATCAAGAAGCCTTTGTTATTCTTTACTAAAATCCGTTCATTCTGATTTTTAATTTTCCTGATAGCTCTTTATAGTTCTGGACTACCTATATATCTTCTTTGATAACCTGAGTTTTCTATATTCTACAGGTTTGATTTTTTTTTCCTGACCTCCATTAAACTTTGAATAGCTTAAGTTAGCCATAGAGCTTCAGTTTAAAAAAGGTGAAACCTGGAGGGCAAACTAATGTTCATATCTAACCCATATGTTTTTAAGAAACTTTTTTAGGAACTTAAGTTGAAAAATTACAAAATGGTAATCCTATCTGAAATTTTAGGCAAGCAAGGGTTAACCATTCCATAAACGTCATCTCCCACACTGCAATACTTAAAAACAGAAGTGTGGCTTCCAACATCTACAGCCATCAATATCCAAGAAGCCCTGCCAGGATCCTTTGTTGAGATGAAATCAGGCAGAAGAACCTCTAAATATCTCCATGACCACAACTCATAATGTATGGGACAGTTCCCAATATTCCACACAGGTTGAAAAGGAATGCACAGAAGAAAGCTTGCTTTTTAACTGTCCTGTTGCTATTGCTGCACTGCCGAATATGTCTTGCACCTCTGCTAAAATTTGTTAAGGCAGTTTGCTTTGAGACAAAAAGGTCAAATGTATTTGCGTTGTAAGTAGGTTTCACCTACTGTGGTTTGAGGTTAAGCTATTGCGTATAATACATATTTCTATTTATATCATGGGATATTATTATATACTGTACATTGTTTGCACAAATCATATGTCAATCAGCCACTGTAACTGCCCAGAAAAGCTGGTAATCAGTTTAGTAAGAGCTTACTTTTTAAACAGTTTCTGAACATTTTATTGTTAAGCTTTAATAAAACAATGTTTGCTTTATTTCCTTTCTCTGTCTCCTCTATTTCTGCTTTAAAAGAGTGCAGGTGCATTTTTCTTTTTTTAAATAATAATAATAATGAGCTCTGGCTGAAATTTCACAAAGTTAATGTGCTCTGAAAACCAGACTGTTCCTGTTCTGCCAAAAATTGCCTCCCATGACAGCTTCTCAACAAATCTTTTCAAACCATCTCTGACTTGTTTGAACTGAATCTTGTCTTCAAATCTTGGATCACAAGTTATATGTAGGCTGTGAATGTGAATGAATATTGAGATGTATTGTTCTGAGCTCTTATTATAGATTGTGTTTTTTTCTTACCTCAGAGAAAATTAAAAAAAATAAAATAAAAATATCTTGGTTCACAACTTAGAATCAACTTTAAATCTCACATCTGAACGGAAACTTGGCTAGTAGGATTCATGCTCAAACATGTGAATGCTCAATGTTTCAACAGAAATGCAATATTCGTTGAGCTTGGGGGTGGTTAGTGTGATCCAGCTTATTCATTAAAGCACTCCTTTATTTCATAACTATCCCATTTTTTTTTCAAGCTGCACAAGGTCCCTTCTTGGATTCTCCTCCCATTTTATCTTTACGACAACCTGACAAGGTAGATTGGGTTGGTTGTTACTGCCTCTCAGCACAAGAATTACCCAGTGAATGGATTGAGGATTTGAACCCACATCTTAGCCCTAAACATTAACCATCAAACTAAACTGACAATGAAAGAAATAAGAGCCATTTCAGCTATACTTTGTGAATGCTCCATCGTCACAGAAACTGCCTTGCCTTGTTACATTGAGGGCTCCATCTACTTCATGAAAAATGGTGTGTTTTTTTATCTCCCTGCTTGTCTGGAATGTTCCCTCTCTGTTCAGGGCATCAGGAAGTGAAATGAAACGAGGAAGCTCACATCATCTCTGCATCAGGGAGACAAATATCGAGCACTGGCAGCAGAGTTATTGATTCAGAGCTAAGCGTCACTCTCTCCCCCTCTCTCCCCAAGTAAGCAGTTACGCCTTTCTGCTTCGTTGCATTTAATCAGATTCCTACAGCTACAGAGTCGAAGCAGAGAATTAGATTTTTTTTTTTTAGAAAAAAAAAGTCTGCCTCTTAATAATGTTTACTTCAAAATCCAACTCGGTCTCTCCTTCCCCCTCCATGGATCAGACAGATTTGGGTGCCTTGGATATCCGCACCAAAGTGCAGCTGTATGGAGTGCTCTGGAAGAGACCGTTTGGGAGACCGTCAGCCAAATGGTCCAGAAGGTAAGGCAGAAGGTGTCTGGGTAGAGCTGCAGAGGCAGAAAGGGAGGGGAGAAGAGAAGAGAAGGTGGTGATTATGAATTGGGAAGGAAAATCCAGAAAATCTGGGGTAGCAATCAGGCTGGGGTTCTGGACAGGCAGGATCTTAAAATGTCCAGCCCCATATGAGTTTCAGAATAGAAGAATCCAGTCCAGGAATGGGACTGTATTAATGTGTAGGATCCAAATCATCATCATCATCGTTGTCGTTGTGCAGCTTTATGGAATCTATTAATTAACAATCTGGGCAAACACGATTTCTGTATGGTGATCTATTTGTAGGTTGGCAAAGGCTCTCTGCCTGCAATTCTCTATGTTCTGCAAAGAAGAGCGTAGGTGAACTGGTGTTAGGCCAACTCATGCTGAATGTAGGCTAAGTTGAGATCATCTACTTCTAGGGAAAGTTTAGCCAAGCAGTGAAGGCTTTCTTTGCTTGCTTGCTTGCTGCTTGTTGTGTGAACTTAATTCCAAAGTGCTTTTTTTTGAGAATGCTGGCTGCCTGATCTGAAGACATGACACAGTGCCAACACAACAGGGAGGAGTGAAACTGTTCATGCTATCACTATCAAATCCTATGCACATATTTATCTTGTGGACATTGTCAGAATTGCTGCACAATTCTATTTCTCAATCACAAAATATTACGGGTTATGGCTGAGAAGAAACTGCCATCCCCATAATAAATATCCCATTCCTAAATATAGTTTTGGATTAGTCACCATGTGACTGGGGCAATCAGGAGTAACTTATTTTATTGCCAGATTTCAGAAACATATAGCATATAAGGTTTCTTTTTAATCTTCCTGCTACCAGTCCTTCCAGAAAAATCTGTCTCTGTACATACTTCACCTGAAATTCCATATGCATTTATACTTGCAGTTAATATATAGCCAACTCAATATGAAAGTAAATAAATATAAAAGAGAAACTTGGGTCAAGGGTTCCTGTAAAATAAATTCTGCTTGCAGGGTACTTCCATTGAAGCAAAGATGGGAGATAATTTTTTTTGCTGATCCTTCCTCTGTTTCTTCTTTTGCCTCATCATTCCAGCACAGCAAATAAAGGAACTGCAGAGTGGAGAACATGCTTTAGTAGTTTCCCTATGCTCTCCCCTGCAAAGAACCTCTGAACAGCTATTCCTTGAGTTCATCTGTTCAAAAAATGAAGTTCTGGATCAATTCTTTTAATATCTATATGTATTTTATTGCTAATTTGCTTGAGTAAAAGAAGAGGAAGTAAGGAAGAGGTACTGTACGCTCAACCTGTACTTCTACTCTCAATTTGTACTTGTGAACTCATGGAAAAGAAATGAGTGGGCCTTCTGCAGCTAAGTAGAGGCAAAAGTTAATGGCAGAACCCTTCCGAAGCAGAGGAGGTGTTCACTTGAAAGTTGCAAGACTTAGCAAACTATCAAGAGCCAAATAGAACTGATTCCTGTATAAATAAGGATAGTGATGTTTTTTTTTAAAATGCGTTTCAATCACAGTATGAGGGCATTGTATAGAATAGCACATCCCCCTGCAGGCTCCATATATCTAAAGCACAGTAAAAATGCAAGTCATAAAACAGTTTGCGAGGCGAACAGGTGATCAAAAAAGGCAATGAGGAGCTGTCATCTCCTTAGCTATCATCTCCTCCTTCTCTGGCACTGCTGAGCTGGGGTTCCTCTTCTTAAAGAACTAAAGGAAAGCAGGACCTTCTGTCTGGCAGAAAGATGGTTGTCATCTATGCTCTCTTGAGTTGCCTATTTGACCCAAATAGAGATGCTGAAATATTCTCTTCAATTCCAGTCACAATTTTTTGGAAACTAAGGTCCAAATACTGTAGCAGAGAAAACTCTCATTCTCTGTGGTTAGCCTATCAAGAATAGAAAGGACTTTTAAAAAGAGACCTCTAATATCATGTTAAGGCAATATATAAAATTTGCTTGGAATCTATTTTAGTTCTGCTTTCAGCTAATAAAGGCATATAGATGCAAAATGCAAACAATTGTACTTATGGCACACATAATTTAAGGACCTCTTGCCTCAAGAACAGTGTATAGGAATGGAAAAGATTATTGTTATGGGATGTATGGTTATTGGTGGTTCTTTCCTTTCGTTTCACAAATCTGCAACAGTGTTAAAGGTAAAGGTTCCCCTCGTACATACGTGCTAGTCGTTTCCAGTTCTAGGGGACGGTGCTCATCTCCGTTACAAAGCCAAAGAGCCAGCGCTGTCTGAAGACCTCTGTGGTCATGTGGCCGGCATGACTGAATGCCAGAGGTGCATGGAATACTGTTACCTTCCCACCAAAGTGGTCTCTATTTTTCTACTTGCATTTTTACATGCTTTCGAACTGCTAGGTTGGCAGAAGCTGGGACAAGTAACGGGAACTCACTCTGTTACGCAGTACTAGGGATTCGAACCACCGAACTGCTGACCTTTCTGATTGACAAGCTCAGTGTCTTAGCCACTGAGCCACCGCGTCCCTGCAACAGTGTTAAGTGTTACTAATTTGCAATGAGAAAGAGACAATACAATAGTCAAGATATTCCACTTTTGCAAGCAAATATACTGTATTATTTGCACAGGGATAACAAGACCTGTTAACTTGAAAGACAGCAAGCTTCATCAACGCACACACCAAGTTCAGAGCCGGTCTAGATAGAATCCAGAAAAGTGTACAAGTCCTCTGGTCTCCACAGCTGAATTCCCATCTGAATGTTGCTTCCACCCTGGTTACTGGCTTCAATGAAAGCCTTGTCTTAGGTCCACTTAGATGGCAAAACTTCTATTAGGTCTTATGTTGCTCTTTCCATGGGACACACTAGACTGGCATCAAATTCATACAATAGAGACAAACCCCATGCCATGCCATGCCATTTATTTGAACGGGGAGGAAACAAACTTAGATGCATGTAGAGTGGTTTCAATTTAGATGGCAGCAAATATGAAAGGGAGGCTTAAACCATTTGTCAAAAGGTGATTTTGATTTAACTTTCTCCCGCATAAAATCCATAGTGCAGATAGGGAGGAGCAAAATATTAAAATTCCCCTACTCCTGATAATCTCCACAATGGAAGAATGGATGGAAAAATGGATCAAACTAGCAGTTACCATAATTACAGTAACTGTTTTAATCAAAGAAAAGACTATGTTCAGTTATGTTTCTACCTGGAAAACACTTCTACAGTTTTGTGCCCAAGATAGGGGGAAAAAGAAATTCTGATTTTGAGCTTTACTGATCAGTTATGCTTGTTGTTATAGAAACGACTAATATATCTTAGTTGAAAAAAGATGAAGCTTTTTCTTCTGCATTTTTCTTCTATTGCACTAAAAAAAGTTGGAAGTTACTGGTTTTTTCTTCTTTACCTCACACTTTGTTTTCCCTTCTTTCCCTCCCCCATTTCCCTATTACCTTCATTTTCATTTGTAATTTATATTTATACATTTATAGTATGATGCTTTCATAGTATGATACTTTTATTAAAATTATATCTAAAAAATCCTCCCACCCCAACATGTCAGGGTCTTCGTCTAGATGCTCCCCCTACCACCATTCTTTTTGACTTTACCACACTAACATTTATTTTGTAATGCATTTCCATGTAATCCCTAGGGAGATGGGTGGTTCAAAATGTGATAAAATAAATATAAATATAAAAATAAATAAAATAAAAATAAATAAAATAAAAATAAATAAAATAAAATAAAAATAAATAAAATAAAAATAAATAAAATAAAATAAAATAAAATAAAATAAAATAAAATAAAATAAAATAAAATAA